TGTTTGAAATGGCTCAAGCAATTATGAGCTCCTGTGTTGTTGGAACTCTTACACACCTGAAGGATTTATTTGCTAAGATTCTCATGCCCAGTGTCATTGGACAGCCTGCTTCCTTGTATTTATACAGGTGTATGTCTTGGGTGACAGTTTATTTTAATGATTATTAATTATGTATGTTACAGCAGGATCTAAGGGCCAACTAGGAATGGGGCTCCAGTATGCTGGGTAAAGTAGAAATGGAGAAAACGTGAGCTCTTGGGGAAGGACTAGCCAGAATAGATGAGAAACAAAGTGAGGTAGAATACAAGAAGATTGAGCAAAATGATAACATCGCTTTTTAGAAGGTGGTTTTATGTCAGGCCAACCTGGTGGCTTTCAATGACCAGGTCACAAAATCCTTGGACGCACACTAGAAGAGAGGGACAGGTTACAACTAGCTCTGGACAGGTTACAGAGGTGGGCGGATGAGAACAGGATGGGTTTCTATACAGACAAGTGCAAGGTGCTGCACCTGGGGGGGGGGGGGAGAACCAGCAGCGTACCGACAGGCTGGGGAACTCCCTTCTTATCAGTACAGAGGCAGAGAAGGATCTTGGAGTCATTATAGACTCCAAGATGAACATGGGCTGCCAATGTGGGGACGCAGTCAGGAAAGCCGACTGCACCTTGTCATGCATCTACAGATGCATCACGAGCAAATCTAAGGAGGTGATCCTCCCCCACTGTGCAACACTGGTCAGGCTGCAGCTGGAGCGCTGCGTCCAGTTTTGGGCACCGCACTTCAGGAGGGATGTGGACAATGTGGAGAGGGTCCAGAGGAGGGCCACTCACATGATCGGGGGCAGGAGGGCAGGCCCTGTGAGGAGAGGCTACAGGACCTGAACCTGTTCAGCCTCCACCAGAGAAGGCTGAAGGAGGATCTGGTGACCATCTATAAACTGGCCAAGGGGGAGCAGCAGGCAATGGGAGAGTCCCTGTTCCCCCGAGCACTACCTGGAGTAACAAGGAATAATGGCCATAAGTTGATGGAGAGTAGCTTCAGGCTAGATATCAGGAGGTGCTACTTTACAGTCAGGGCGGCTAGGGTCTGCAACCAACTTCCAAGAGAAGTGCTTGCACCTACCCTAGGGGTCTTCAAAAAGAGGCTAGATGGATACCTTGCCAGGGTCGTTTGACCCCAGCATTCTTTCCTGTCCATGGCAGGGGGTTGGACTTGATCTGCTCAGGTCCCTTCCGACCCTACTAACTATGAAACTATAGATAAGATAAATGTGAAGAAAAGAGAAGGGGTTAGAAGGCGTGATCTAAAAAGGAGTTGTGGTAGAGAGACTTAGAGGGAAGCGGGGAACCCTAGGCCAAGCAATCAGTTGGCACAGAACAGAGGAAGTCCAGTCACAGTTGTTGAAGTTCTGTGAAGGGCCAAAGTCCCTGCTCTAGCTGCTCCTGCAGTTTTTACCCAAAACTATATTGGGGGATGGGGGTGCACTTTCTGGGGCCTATACTGTTCCAATTGCATATTTCCTTCTTCTCCATAAATCAGTTGCCTCTGTAAAAGGCATTACTAGTAGTGTTTCTTGACACCCTAGCTCTGTGGCTGCAGCAGCCTCTGGTCCCATGCAGAGCCCTGGGTTCTTGTATTCCTAATGAGCAGTGGCTATGCTGTAGCAGCCTTAGAAATCCTTCTAATGTGTCTCTTTCACATGTGGAGCTCTTGTTAAAAAAAACAACACCTGACTCTAAAGTTAAAAAGGGCACAGTTTGGTAAAAAAACAAAAGAAACACATCCTAGAGGTATAAAATAGAAAAGCAGAATTGATCACCACACTCTCAATGCAAAATTGTTCTCTGCAGAGCAGGTTGAAGCTGGAGTAGACAGAACACAAGTATCCCCACTGACAGCATGTATTATTCCATTTGAAAAACCATATCCCTACTTCAGTTTATCTTGCTGGTGGTATTTTTCATGCCTTTCTCTTTCAGCTGATTTTTAGTTATAAGCCCAAAATATTTTAGCTGACTTCTGCGTAAGTGTAGACAAGCTCTGACTAACCTTTAAACTAACAGATTTGCACAACTTTAATTTAGCATAAATTAATGTTATAGCCATACGTTGTAATGTCCTTTTTAAATTTATAATTTTTTAGTTATAAGTTAAATTTAAAACTTATGCTTTTGTACCCTGATGATCATGCAAACTGAATTATGGGCAATCAAGTAAACCAGATGAGTGAAGTCTCAGACCACACTGAAGTCGATTCCACCCTATCATTAGCAGTAAATTGAACTTCTGAAGTGCTCCACTTGAATGTAAGGTGTTAACAAAATAATACTACATAAAATTTGTTTAAAGGTTGTCTCCTAGCCTAACAGTGCCCTCCCAACGCTCGATTCTTTTATGTACAGTTTCAGTTTTAAAGAGATCATTGAGGGATTTCTATTTATTTTCAACAGCCAACAAATGGACCAACAGAGGTGATTTTAATTACAAAGGTTTATTCAGTGGAACTTAACACTTCTGTTACAAAATTACCATGAGGTGGCCTTTGAAATGGTGCTCTCCTGTACTCTGGATTGCATATGAAACAAGTAGGTGGAAATTAGGTTACTACAGCAAGCTCGCAGCTTCTCTAGGGTCATACTTCAGCTTCTGGTTCAAGTGTTTTCACCTTCCTATATGCCAAGCATCTTGAAAGCAGAGGTAGGTGATGTAAAATACCATATGATGAGGTAACAGGAAGTCCCATATTCAGCTAATGTACATATCTTTGGGAAACTTGCTTGTCTGTATATGTTCCAAAACTGGCATGTCATTTAATTAAATTATCCTAGCAAATCAATTTTTATTATATTTTGAAATATTAGCCTCAGGGGAGGCTTAAGAAGCTACTTCATGACTTTCTACCTTCCTTTAAAGAAGTAAAATAGAGCTTCTTAAGCCCCTGCCCCCGGCTTATTTTTGCAGATGATTCTTTAATCTAGCAAGCAGACTTAATGCAATAATGTGGTTGGAAGCTGAAAGTACACAGACTGAGGCTAGAAACTGGGTGCAAATGATTAGCAATAAGGGTAATTTAATCTAACCTAGGGATGTGGAGGATTATGAACCACTTGCAGTCCTTAAATCAGTGGTTCCTGGGGCATGAGCCATGATACATTAGTATGCTGCAGGAGCGGTGGAAGCATATCACAGAAAAATGGGCTGGATTGGGCCATGACCACACCAGTCCCATGCAGTTAGATTAGGAGCAGATCCAGTCCACAGACCAGTGAGTGAAGCGTGCCACTGATTTTAATTGTGGGGAGGGGAATGTGTTCCCAAAAGTTTGGGAAACACTGCCTTAAATCAACATCAGTTCCCCCACTCAGTGCAGCACTTTCTGCAGTCTGTGCTCACTTGGAAGTAGACCTTCAGGCAAACACTGATGTCTTTACCAAGGCATACAAGAAAATTGGACTGATGCTTAACATTGAGTAGTGCCAATACACGTGCAGCGAGGCTACTCTGATGTGCTGTAATTATAGCATGTTGGAGCAGATCTGATTAATCGAATCTGCTCCAGCGGACTCTGATGTTCATCAAGCTTTAGTGAAAGTGCCCCCACCACCTTTTTTCAGCATGGAGACGCTGATGCATGTGATGCTTCAGGTGCTTTTAATTAGTGACTCCCAAAGGTGCACTAGTTAAAGCCCCCCACCCCACCCCCCGCCCCTTGGGAGCACATGCATAAACGCCGCAGAAGACTAAGGTTCTCCATCAACCAGCTCTTAATGAGCAGTCCCTACCTCTGGTAATTCAGATCCGTGGTGAGACTAGAGAAGGCTGAGTATTTCCTGTAACTCGCAAGCCATTTCTCGCAGAAGGCTGATATCGACAGAGAAATCCAACATGGCCTCGAATGTGCAAGTGCCACCTTCAGACACCTGAGGAAACAGGTGGTCAAAGATTGCATTGTCAGATCCAAAACCAAGCTCATTGTTTATCAGGCAATTGTGATCCTCACCTTGCTGTACAGTGCTGAGATGTGGATGACCTATAGGAGACACCTCAGGACACTGGAGAAGGACCATCAATGCTGCCTGCAGAAGATCCTTTAATCGGCTATTAGATAAAAGTGCCAAAAAAGCCCCACTAAAGCACCCAATCTTTATACACATTGGGAAAGCTGGGTGCAATTAATGTGCTACCTCTTCTGGGCATGTGCTGGGCTCGGTGCAGGAGTGCACTGAGCTTGAAGTAAAGCATAGGGAGCTGCTTGCAGATGTGGAAAAAGAAAAACCAGTGCTTTTAAACTGGACACGTTCTCGCACCGAGCCCAGCACATGCCCAGACGAGTCAGCACTTTAGTTGCACCTGCCTTTCTCAATGTCTGTAGAGAGAGGGGTTTTAGTAGAACCTTTTTGGTGGTTTTATTTAATAGGTGATTGAATCAGCTTTGGCTACAAGTACCAAAAAGCCCCACTGACGCACCCTCTCTGTATATATGTTTTCTCTTCTTTTTCCGTGTCTTGTCAGTGCCCTGAATGAATGCTTTGGAGCATTATAGTTTTCTTGTTGGTCTCGTTAAAAACGCTCACACAGCTGCCACCATCTTGCAAAAACCTGTGTGGAGTAAAATGTTATTAAAAGATCTGTCTCCAGCCCCTCAGTGGAAGTGGTTGGACAGTATGCTTGTTTAACTATTTTGTGGCATTTATAATTAATAACTGTGGAGTAATATTTACATGGAATTGTAATTACACACAAACTTTTGTAAAGAAGCTAATGCAAAGGGCATGACAGAATTTTTATATGCCTGTTATCTTCCAATATCTGCAAGTTTCTTTAGACGTCTTGATTGCTAGAAAGTGTAGGTTCTGAGTTTCATTGGCAAACTCAGTGATAATGGTCAATTTCTGCCTTTTTTTAGTGGTTTGCCGCTCATGATTATCATCCACAAATCCTGGTGTGGAGCGTGCAAAGGTATGTACATTTAGTGCTAAAAGACTTAACAGAAGTTTTTTTTATATACAAGTCTATTATTATTTATTTAGAAATATGAATATTTAAAATGTAGCATGTGTTGCATTTGCTTTTTGCTCCGAGCAGTACAGTAGCAAACACACGTACTGTTTGTTGTTGCTAAAGGAGAGCTACAGCTAAATGCCAGAAACCAGAACTCTTTAATACAGTACAGTAAGAATGAGACTCTCACCTTTAAATCATGTAAAAGTGCAAAAAAGGGTCATTCTGCTTTTACTGAGAATTCTTGATAAAGAACAGTGTCAAATATTGATATAATCATAAACCTACTTACACTAGATAGTTATTTCTCAGTGATTTGTTAGATGTTTTGTCTTATTCAGTAGCATAATAGAAGGGCCTAAAAATTGCCTTGATTTAAAACTGTAGGTAAAGTGAAGTAGATGGTTCAGCTGACTGATAATGCAATGTGGAGAGTTTCCTGCTTTGAAGCCATTGGCTTGAATACGACCCATATAGCTATTTTTGCTCAGTATTCAGTGTATGACTATGACTGCTCAGTGAGGATTTGGTTAGCCAGCTTTTATTCGGAGTCGCAGATTCAGTAGCTGTTACAAAGATTCAGTTTCCCAATGAGAAGTACTTATGCTGTAGAACAGGGACTGCCAACCTCTAGAAGCCATGGGCCAGAACAACCTGGCTCCAGTCTTGCACAGGCTGGGTGGCTTTCATGCTGAATCAGCCAAGGGAGTTTGCTTGTGCTTGTACCAGGGCCAGGCAGCTGGGAGCTGCACCCACACCACTGCCAGTTCTCCCAGTCCCCTGCTCCTCAGCTGCAGTGAGTGCAGCATCCAGCTGGTGGGGAGCTCTGCTGGGGGTGGGAAGCTGGAAGTTGTCTGCTTCTCCCCTCCGCACCTCCTGGCTGCAGCCTGGGCACAGCTGGAAGCTGCTCAGCCCTGGCTTAGTTCCCTAATAGTTGGAAGCTGCGCCCTTGCTGCAGTTGGGAAACCGGGGGGTGAGGGGGGCATGGGGTGAACCAGCAGCAATGTGAGTGCAACTTCCAGCTGCATGGTCCTGGTTGCAGCTCTTTGCTGCCCAGCAGGGCCTTGGGCAGAGGCAAAGCCCTCCACTCCATGGGCCAGATCCAGCAGCTCCATGGGCCCTATGTTGCCAGTCCCTTCTTTAGGGATGAAATGGGGACTTTGTTATAGGCCTGAATTCCCCCCCACCCCTCCCCAGGTAGAATTTAGATGTAGTTTTCTCTTCCATTCCCCTTCCCCTTCTTTCTTTTTTCTTTTTAGCTTTAAAGCCAAAGTTTGCCGAGTCCAAGGAGATCTCTGAACTTGCCCATAATTTTGTTATGGTCAATCTGGAGGTAGGCTTTCCTACAGTTCATGTCCATGTTACCATTTTGTAATGAAGTACCTTACGTCCATATTTCTTTTAACTCTTTATTTGTCCTTCCTATCTAAATTCCTCAAATTATTGAATAATCACACAGTACTGATTTGATATTTCTGTTTGATTAAAAAGGAAACTCTTTGCAATATTTATATAGCAGTTCTACTTATGAAGCTGACTCTGTTCCATTATGTCTTTAACAATTGGCTCATTTTCCCTCTCTACACTAATCATAAGAAAAATGGCTTTTATAGATGCAGTCACTACATGACAAATATTACAACCCCAAAACAGAATAAATATATAACTTGGTGCAGATAACTAAATTTATTTTCACAACCGATATTTATCTGGGTGAAAATAACTTTATTTCTTTGGTTGGCAATGTAGAGAATTTTGTAATGATTTATCATCTTTTCAAGATGACATTTACTCAAACCACCCTTGGAAGAAGATAGCTCATTTCCTTAAGGTTACATTTTGTTGACTAGCTTGCTCAGAAAGTGCAAATGTTCTCTTATTTCTGTCTTGCCACCCACAGGATGACGACGAGCCAAAGGATGAAGCTTTTAGCCCTGATGGTGGCTACATTCCCAGAATCCTCTTCATGGGTAAGACTCATACACAGCTGTTACATCCTCTCGCATGATTTGTCATCACTTGTTCAACATTTTAATCACTCTTCTACTGAACAGATCCCAGTGGAAAAATCCATCCAGAGATCATAAATGAGAAGGGAAATCCCAGCTACAAGTATTTCTACACCAATGCTGATCAAGGTATGTGTGAATGAATTCTAGATTTGGTTTGGGTGGGACTGAATTGCAAGTGTGTTATGGAAATGACACCCATGTACGGAGTAGAGGAAACCTACTGGGTCACAGCATACCTGGAAGCTGCTACAAACCAGGTGAATGAGTTTCTTTAACACCTTGGGGCAGGGTGGCAGGAGCCTTAGCGTAGAATCAGGATGTGCTTCTATTTCCCATCTGGTTCTTAAAAATCTGGACTTGGTTACACATCCACTCCTGACTTCTCTTTATAAATGTAGTACTTCACCATGCCTATTCTTTCCTTTTACTTTAAGCTGTCAGGGACAGCTTCAAGAATAAATTGATGTCACCTTTCCCACCTCCAATAAACTGGCTGTTGCACCAAAAGCTAGCAGCAAGCAATGCGGTCTGTGAAGTGTGATGCATATATGTATACAAATATATGTGCGCATATATGTATGCACATACATTTATATATATATAAATAAATGTATGACAAATATTTATATAAATATATATATCTATATAAATATATTTGCGTACATATATGTGCATGTATATTTGTATACATATATGCACCACACTTCACAGGCCACATTGCACCAAGCAATGGCCAGTTTATTGAAGGTGGGAAAGGTGACATCAGTTTATTCTTCTGAGTCTGTATAATCATCGGTAAACTTTGTTGTAGCCTTAGTATAGACCCAGTGGCGGTATCTTTTGAAATATTGTGTCATCTAAGCTTGGTAAGGGCAGAACTGATTGACACTGTAGTTCCAAAAATCACTAACAGCGGGGGGGAACAGACCAGTGCTAGCAACAGTGGGAAATTATAGCTATCCCATAAGTTGAGAGTGTGCTCAATTGAGAGGAAATGTGATTTTCTTCTCTGGAGTATAATGGAAGGGCAGAAAGAGAAGAAAATTGATCTTCCTAATAATTTGTAAGACTACAGTCTTTCACATACAGCATCCTGCCAATGCCAAATACCTGATCTTTAAACTAATCCCCACTCAGATAATGTGTGCAACTCGCTATGCAGTAACCTCTTAGTATCTGCAAAAGGGAGGTAGTGATATTTTTGGAAATTCAGGCCTTCTTATCCAAAAACTGCACACACAGAAATGTGACCTTCTCCATAGCATCCCACTTGCTTGCTTTAGTTCTTGAGAGGCCATGTCTAGAAATGGGAGGATGCTTTAGGCTCAGTCCTTGCAGCTGAGATGGCCAACAAAGAGAAGAGCTGTCAGATAGAATATTTTGTGCATGATAGGGCAGAGGGTATCTTTCTGATGATATGCTGCTTTCAGAAGCAGTTACCACTTCTTATTGCTTTGCCAGGGTTTTCCTTGTGAGCCTGGGAAAAATAGATTGCTCAGCTGCCATGAAGATATTGATCTCAGCAGTATTGGGAAAATATGCAGAAAATGACTCTGTTATATTAAACATGGCTTTTTGAAATTAAAAACAAAGTTTTCTGTTGCTTTGTGGTGATTTGAAACTTTTTTTAAAGATGCTTTTCATACTTGAATAAAAAATAAATATTGTATAAAATGTTGTTAGAAATATCAGTGATGTCAAGCCCTGCCTTCCCTGGTAAAAGTGTTGGGGGTCTCAGAAATGTGGATTGTGAGGGAAGTGTTGAACCTTTAATATAGACATCTTTGCTGCCAAGTGCTTCTCAGCCATGTGAGACATAGTATAATAGAAAATGAGGGTTGGAAGAGACCTCAGGAGGTCATCTAGTCCAACCCCCTGCTCAAAGCAGGTCCAGCCCCAACTATATGAGTTAAATGAGCTAAAAGTCAACTCTACTATTCTGAGTGTTTTAAAAATGTCCTTCCCAAATTCAGCTACATGGTATTTCTGATGTACTAATCCTATCAATTCTGTCTGGTCATAGAGTTTTTTTCCAGGAAAAAAGGGCTAGGTGCAAGCTGAATTTATAAATAAGGGTGAAGGGGAAACGCAGGAGGAAGAGTGGAAGGGAAGATGTTAAGAGATTCTTTATGCCTCATAATAAAGCCAAAAGGGCGCACCCTTTTATCTTTTTTTTCCTTTGCATGTTGTTTCCAAGGTGTTCATGCTATCTAGCTGTACCAGTAGTGGCTAATATACTTTTCATTTTCAGGAGAATTTCCTACTTAATTCATATCATATGTGTTGAAACAAACCAGCTGATGCTCTATATATAATTTTAATTTTTACAGTTGTCCAGGGGATGAAAGAAGCTCAGGAGAAGCTGACAGGTGATGCTTTCAAACAGAAACATCTTGGAGATGAATTATAATATATACATTGAACATGACTTTTATCCATCAATTTGAAACTCTAAAAGTATAAATGATTTTGTTGTTGTTGATAAACTGTTAAACAGACCAAGAAATGTAGTTGCACTGGAGGGACAGAATTCTCTTATTAGTAATTTGCTAGGTTAAACATTTTGATTTTTCAGACATGAACATCAGATACAGTGTTATCCTTTCTCCCAGCCAGTTTACACTTTAATACTTAACGGCTAATTTACACGAGTCCCTGAAGTGATCTCAAACCGAATATTCAGTGGGTGTCCACATAACAATGACCACTTGTATCCAGCGTTCAAAGCATTTAACCTGCATCTTAAGAGGATGAGCAGTGTGATTATTATGCACTGAAATAGTGAGAGCTTGATCTCCATTTGGGATTGGATCCTTCATTGGCCATCAGTGGGAGATGCTCAGATGAGTAGGAGATTGAGACTCAAGCTAGCTATTTTCTAAAAAGCCAAACAAATCAAACAAGTAATTTTGCCACTAAACCAAGTAAAGTTTTTTTTTTGTTTTGTTTTGTTTTTTTGTTTTTTTTTTTTCATGCATATCCCGAAGTAGCTTGTAGAATATTCACTCGGCAAAAGATCTTCTTTGTAGAGCTGTTTGTGATTTGTCTTGACTTGCCTTCAGGTAGGAGCTCCAGCTCTCCATCATACGTTCATCTTTGGTTAATATTAAGACAAGATTATGTTGAAGTGTTATGGGGATTCCCACTCTTGCTGAATGTTTTGGAGAATGCCTTGCCATCACATTGTACTGTATTTTTGTACCAGGGTGAAAAATTAAAACTTTTTAAAAATAAAGGGCATGGTAAATGTGTTTTTTTTGGAGGGGAGGAACACATTTCCATTCTTTTTAGGAACTGGGAAATGTATTTGTGTATGTCACGTTGGTTACTGATGATGATGAATGTTACAGGTGAAAAGAGCCTTCCCCTTATGTTTCCAGCAGACAATTGCTGCTTTTCAGTGATTGTCATTAGGCTTATTTTCTTGGCATTTAAATCGTCATAATTCAGCCTCTCTTGAACCTCCTATACAATTGGGAACAAGAGTATCCAGTAATTATCTATTAGAACAAATAAAAGAAAATGGCTTTTAATGTAGCCTAAATTACGACAGCACTCATTTGTTTAGTGAAGACAATTGTAGAATGAGTCACTATTGCTTTTGACCTACTATAGTCCACACAAAGAAGGAAGCACCCTGTATTGATTGACTAAGGAGCTACCTAGTGGATCTGCTGTCATGCCCGTCTCTTAAAAGGAAACAATGGAAGACAAATGTATTGCAGAGCCCTGCTGGTCACTGTCAACAAGATCGCATGTCAGACTTCTGACATCCTATTGAGAAAACACTGAGCAGGATCATTCTGCTGAACTGTGTCCCTGTCAGCAGTCAGCCCCAGCTGTGTGCCTGCATAAATTCCTTGTGTGTCTGTAAGTGGGAGCTCTTCTTATACCGGTATGGGGCTCGCCTTCACTATAGCCTTCTATGTTTTTTATTTTGAGTGATTCCATTAATTTGGACCTATACACTCTCACAAGCTCCTTACTTGTGTGGTGGTGCAAATAACAAAGGTTAGTGTGCACAACACAAGTTACAGGGCTGGCTTAATGTAAGGTCACCACATCAGTTGCTAATATGATCTCTCCATAGTGCTGACATAAGCTAGCTATGTGACACAACAGCTGAAGGTTTTCCCAAGTCCTCTCGATCATCCTGAAATAGCACCTTACCTTCTGCTGGTGAAATTTATACATTCCACACGCTGACACACAAAATGTTCAGAAACTACACTGACAAGTGCAGTTTTGAGCTCCAAGTCTATTTTCTTTCATACCTCCTTATTCTACTGTGGAACCAATTATATTCTTGGTGTATCCTAAGCAGACATATTTGCTCATATTTCAGATTGCAATTGTCTCCATCTATTCCAGTCTTTTCTAAAACACACCTCTAGTTGATTGATTTATGCCAACGGTTGATTGATTTTATTGCAGTTTCTGGTTTGGGGTATTAAGCAAGACATCAAAACCCATCTTAAGCAAAAGTAAAAGATATATAAAAGATCTATAAAGATATATAAAAATACCGGTATGTTATTGCAGTATTGAGATTTCTGAAGGATATGGATCTCTGCCAAGGCACAGATGGAACTGGGACTAGCTTCCCAGATTAAGGACAATAAGAAGTCTTTTTTTAAATACATAGGGGGTAAAAAGAAGGTCCCGGGTAATGTGGGGCCCTTGCAGGACGCGTTGGGAAATTTGGTCATCACACCAGACGGCAAAGCTAACATGTTTAACGATTTCTTTGCCTCCGTCTTCCTAAGTAGGGACCAGAACAGCCACCTCCCTGCTGGGCCCCCCTTGGGCCCTGGGGAAGGCACACCTGGGCCAAGGGTTAGCAAGGATTTAGTTAGGGAGCTTCTGGAGGGGCTGGACATATTCAAGTCAGCCAGTCCGGATGATCTCCACCCTAGAGTTCTAAAGGAATTGGCCGAGGTCATTGCAGGACCCCTGGCACGGCTTTA